GGGATGGAGTAGGGGGAGGGATGGGGGGCCCAGGTCCGTGTGGTAGCGGGGGACCTGGGGACTGGGGCAGAGCCGGTGGAATGGGCACCCAGGGCAGAACCAGCGGCCACCACAACGGTGCGTGTGGTGCTGCCGCCTTGAAAGGAACGGAGGCGAGTCTTGAGCGGGCACCGCCGCTTCGGGGGAACTGAGAGCGGACACCGCCCGGGCACCGCCGCCTTGCGAACATCATGAGCGGGCACCGCCGCTTCGGGAGCCTTGTGAGCGGGCACCGCCGCTCTGAGAACATCATGAGTGGCCACCGCCGCCTCGGGGAAACTGCGAGCGGGCACCGCCGCTTTGAGAACATCATGAGCGGGTACCGCCGCTTCGAGAACATCATGAGCGGAAGCCGCCTCGGGGGAAATGAGAGCGGACACCGCCCCCTCGGGGGAAATGAGAGCGGACACCGCCGCCTCGGGACAACTGAGAGCGGCCACCGCCTCGGGAGGATCGTGAGTGGGCGCCGCCGCTTCGAGAACATCGTGAGTGGGCTCCGCCGCCTCGGGAGGATCGTGAGCGGACACCGCCGCCTCGGGGGAACTGAGAGCGGGCACCGCCGCTTCTGGAGCCTTGTGAGCGTACCGCCGCTTCGAGAACATCATGAGCGGCCACCGCCGCTTCGGGGAAACTGCGAGCGGGCGCCGCCGCTTCGGGGAAACTGAGAGCGGCCACCGCCGCCTCGGGGAAACTGAGAGCGGACGCCGCCGCCTCGGGGAAACTGAGAGCGGGCACCGCCGCTTCGGGGGAACTGAGAGCAGCCACCGCCGCCACGGGGAAACTGCGAGCGGCCACCGCCGCTTCCGGAGCTTCGTGAGCGGACACCGTCGCCTTGGGGAAACTGCGAGCGGGCACCGCCGCCTCGGGGAAACTGAGAGCGGACGCCGCCGCCTCGGGGAAACTGAGAGCGGGCACCGCCGCTTTGAGAACCTCATGAGCGGGCACTGCCGCTTCGGGGGAACTGAGAGCGGCCACCGCCGCCTTGCACAATACGGCCACGTAGGGCTTGCATCAGTCCCGTACAAACTATTATTACAACTAGTAACAATCCTTAATAATCCGCCCAGAGTGGCATGGGGAAGGCGCATAAATAGCCCTCAGGATGGGCCACAGCTGTGTGTGAGTGAGTGTGTGCACAGGTGTGTGGAGTCAAGGTACTGGAGTTCAGGATGGGCAACAGCTGTGTGTGTGTGTGTGAGTGTGTGCACAGGTGTGTGGAGTCAAGGTAACGGAAATGGAGTCTGGGAGGATGGGAAATGGCGACCTCTGGTGGTGAGAGGGAGAACACCAGACGCCAGACCCTGACAGTGTGTGTCTTGACTTGTTCTTGTTTAGTCTATCCTTTAAAGAACCCAAAGATTAAAAGTGCTTTTAAAACAAATTAACAAACCATTCAACCATCTGATTCTTATAATGCAGATTCTTGTCAAATTGTGGTCCGTGAAAAATTCCAAAAGGTTCTTGAGTTGAGTGGCTAATAAAAAAAAAAAAATCTAAAAATTGCAAACATTGAATTAATAGACTGATTAATAAACACATTATGAATTAAACTGATAAACTTAAACTTAATAACTTAATTTAACTTAATTTTAAACTTAATTTAAACTTAATAAACTTAAAACATTAATTTAATGACCAAGTGTTTCTGTTCTGTTTAGTTACAACTAGTTACAACTGTAACTTACAGTTATCAGTGTATGTGTTTATTGCACACTATTAACTGGTGAATACTCGCCTCATTTTGAGTTTATTAGGAAAAAAGAACAGTGTGTACTTACAGTACTTCAAATTTCAGAGAAATTGCAACAAAAAAAAAAAAAAAAGAGGTTATGGATTGGTAAAAATTAGGTAACTTAAGATACAGGGTATAAAGTTGCATGATTGTATGAACATATAAGTACAGTAATTGTTTTGACATGGTGGTTTCTCCAAGATAGGTTCTCAGATTGTTTATTTATTTACTTATTTATTTTAACACATTGAAGTAGTCCACTTTCCTGTTAAAGACCGTCCTGTTGCTGTGTTAAGATTTCAATGCAAATATTTAGTCATTATGAAATCAAACATATTTTGTTAGGGTCATCAGTGTAAAGACTTCAATTGAAATTTTGAATCTGTACTATGACTAGTCATATTATACGTTTTGACTGTACTGATGAATGCTAATGATGTCTTTCATCATAGTTTCCATCATTTCCAAAATTGTTGGCTTTTAACACTTCTAGCATTGCACTTACCTCAGAATAAAAGCTAACAACTTTTAAAGCCTGTTAGAAATTCAAATATCAGTATTTGGTTATCAGCGTTGATTGCACTGCAAGGGATAAAATGCATTTAAGAGAAGTAGAGACAAAATTAAACTACCTTATAATCTGGTTTTCTGAGTAGTGTGTGATGACGTCTGAGTCTTGCAAACAGTTTTTATTTTAGGACTGAAACAGTTATTTTTTAGGACTGAAGACTGATATTGCTGCATTTCCTCTGTGCTCGAGAGATATCATCCAGTGCTGCACGGCTCGCCAGTGCAAGCATGCATGCAAAATGCATTGTTTTTTGTTTTGTAGAGTAAGCTTTTCTCTCTGTTAAAAGGTTCATACTGCATTTTGATTTTGGGAGCTATATTAAGGTTCTTATCCTGTCTCACCTTATATAAAAGACTGATTAGAGCTCTGAACCCCGAAGGCATCTGGATAATGCTGTTTTACTCAAGTGAAGAGCTTTGAAAGGGCTGTACATCCCATCTCCAGCTTTCAGCTTCTTATACTTGAGGTCAT